CCCAAACCCCCAACTACTGCAACTCACCACCGTACAGGGTCGAAAGAAGGACGGAGGCGGTCTGGCGGCGGTAGTGGCCCGGGTCAAACCCCCGGCGCTCAAGTCCAAGACGTGATGGAGCGCCGGGGGGGAGAGGGGGGCGGGAAAGAGCCAAGACAGATGACAGATTCACGCGCCCCTTTCGTGTGTTTTGTATGTATGTGTGTGTATGTATGTGTGTCTGCCAAACCTCCGGTTGCGTTTACCTCACAGTTCACATCCGTATGTATGTTATGTATGTGCGCTTGTCTCTCCATCCTTGTCCGTCTTTTGAGCCCCTCCCCCCCTGGAGTCGTCCTTTCCGTGTGTGTGTGTGGGCGTGTGTGTGTGTGTGTGTGTGTAGGTTGATCCCATTCGCGCTCCGTCTCCGTCTCCATCCGCTCGCATCCGAGTCCCCATGGCGCGGTGGTGGTGGGGGGCCCGTAGGGGCGGGGGGTTATAGGTAGGTGGGTAGGTAGGCAGGTAGGAAGGTGGGTAAGAGCATGAGGGAGGGAGGGGCTCGAGTTCGCAGCAGGTGTGGGGTGGTGGGGTGTGTGGTGGGGTTTGAGGCCCCGGGGGTTCCGGGGGCAACCCCGGGGGGGGGGCAGGATGGAGGGGAGCGGCGGCGGCGGCAGGATACCATCCGGGGTGGGATAAGGTGTGGGGGGGCAGCGGCGGCGGCGGCGTGTGTGTCTGTGCGTACGTGCGTATTTACATATGTGTGTGTATGTTGGCGAAGGCTGAAAAGGTACGAGCAGCTGCAGCATTTTGAACCCGTTAAGTTGGCCTGTACAGTTAGGCCGTACAGGGCGGCGTGTGGGTTTTGTGTGAAGTGAAGGTGACGGCGGCAGCCGGGAGACTAGGAGCTAGGTGGGTTGGGGTGGGGGTGGGGTAGGGGCGGGAAATGCTTGGGGTGGGGGAAAGGAACTTAAATCGATGGCAGTGGCAGTGGTACGGCAGAAGAACGGTGCATCAGCATCGGCCGGTTAGTGCCGTATTCCTCGCGCACGGTATTTCCATGACACAACATACATACAAGCATACATACGAACATACATACATACGTCACTACAGCTGCCAAGTTCAGTGAGGTTTACGATAGTCCCCTCGTGATGATGTATCGAAATGTCGAAGAGATGTGTCTCGTTGAAGCTGTGCGTGTGCCTCTCTCTGTGCGTGTATGTATGTCTGTGTGTGTGTATGTGTGTGTAAATGTTACAAGTATCTGACCAGGCCTGACGACACTGGCCACAGGGGAGGGGCGGCTGCCTGCTGCCCCAACGGAAAGACCGCCTAAGCTCTCTTATCTCCCCCGCGGACCACGGGAGAGGGGTGTGGAGGGGCTGTGTGTGTGCTTGTGTGCTTGTGTGTGTGAAAAGCCGTTGGAAAGAAGATGGCACCGTTCTGTCCTCCTTGACCTTCTAGATGGAGCTGTGTGGGTTTGATTCCGACTGAGGGTAGGCGGAGTAACACACGTACGAAACACTGGAGCGAACCAATTATGACGCAGACACAAGATAAGAGATAGGCGTGGACAGTCCGGGGGGGGGAGATGAGGGGGAACGTGCACGTGCGCGGGGGTGGGGGTGGGGCGTCTGGATGGGTTCATACCCGAGTGCATCACCGGGGGGGGTTTCGATGCAGCTGCTGATACTCGGTTGAACACACAAGTTTCGTACACATGCGTCGGTATCGAACCTTGACCTTACGTTGACCTTACATTGACCTTACATTGACCAGCTGAAGGTGAACAAAAATACGGTACTCTGTATATACGAAGTAATAAACAAACTTGTAACGGTCATGATGATCGATGATGGCGCGATGTAATCATGTGATGCGTTTATGTTCCCTAGCGCCCGGGCATGTGGCGCTTGGGATGTGGGGCCGTGAGAGGCCTTTTGCTGTGTATGTGCCGTGTTTATGGATGTGCCGTGATTGTGGGGCAAGGGATAATACGTTGCTAAGTGATGATGATGTGTGGGAGAGAGGGGTGCACCTGCGGGTCGCGTGAGTGGGGATATAATATATGTTAAAATGAACTCTACAACTTTGCGAGGTGTCAAGGTGGATTGGGAAATGTGTGTGTGTGTGTGTGTTGTGTGTGTGTGTGCGCGTGTATGTATGTATGTTATGTGCCTGATAGCAAGGGCAAGGGAGAAAGCAATTTTCTTGTCTTGGTGACCTCAGTACGGCAGCAGTGACACCTCCCTGGGCCTGCTGAGGTCTACCTCAGTCAAGTCACCACGTGCAGCAGTGCACCCAAAGTAGTCCCCTCGTGCACTAATAGGGTCCCGTCAAGGCATAGGGGCGCTAGATTAATCCTGTACGTCCCACACACACATACGTACATACACGCGCACGGCTCGCGCTCACGGCGTCCTCGTCACTCACAAAAATTCATGTGCAGGACTCGCGTCTCCGCATCAAACACACACATATCTCGTACGGCATATCATATGTCGTCTTTCTATGCATACATATATTTGGACTTGGCTTGTTGCCCGGTAAGCATAACTCTACCGTACAGCTACATGCTCAAATCATGTCAGCCAAAATACATATCCTTCATTACCACAGTACTGCTGGTCATGTGGCCGTTATTCAGTTGTCCTCGGGAGCTACCTCACCTTCACACCGTTTATTTCCCTTCCTGTGCCACAGCCGACTACTCACTCACTCATTCATCACTCATTCACACACTCATTCACTCACTCACTCACTCCTACTGGGCTCAATCCAATTCGACTTCCCGCCCCGCCCCATGCTGTCGTCTTCCCCCCTTTCTCGCACTCGCACTGCTGCATCTGCCCTCCGCCGCCGAGGTACACCATACATATTGGGGGCCACAGCCACGAGTCACTTGCGGGGGGGGGGCCGGCCCTGCTATCCCGCTGTGTATTACCACACCACCACCACCACCACCACCACCACCATATCAGAGGATTCCGTCACCCGCAGGACCCCGCGGAGTACAGGCTGAAGGTGTTGGGCTCACTCGCCACTGCCAGGAGGCGCCCGTCGCCGCTGAGTGCAACACCCTGTGTGCATTTGTTTGTGAAGGGGCCGAGAGAGTGGGGCACAAGGAGCGGGAAAGGGAAATGGACGGGGGGGGGGAGAGCGCATGAGAGTGTGGGGCGAAGGAAAGGTGCCTTCAACAGATGTACGGTGGGCGGATGTGTGTGTGTATGTTTTGTGGGAGTTTGTTGTTGTTTGTGTAGGTGTGGATGGAGAGCGTCAGATGTGAAGGCAGCAGTCACGGACAGCCCCGATTCCGAAGCTCCATTCTTCCACCTCGCCATGCGACTGTCACACGTACAATTTCCCTTCCCCCCTAAGCACGGGGGGGAGGGGTGATACGTCCCACACAGGTTGCGGACCTCAACCACGCCCTCAAGCCGCTCGCACATGGCCGCCATCCCCTCATGGCGGCCGTAAGTCCCACATCTCCATTCCATGACATCACTCTGCCCGATTTGACCATTTTGACTCTCAATCCTCTTGCTTCTTCCCTCGCGTGCACACACACACAAACACACACACACACACACACAACACACACACACACACAAACTACACACACAAACACACACACACACACACACACACACAAACACACACACACAAACACACACAAACACACACACAAACACACACACAAACACACACACACAAACATACACACACACATGTATGTGCACAGTCGACACCCGCCCACCCAGGGCTACCTCAGGTCTCGCTAGTCCCCTGATCTTTAAGGTCGACAACCGATTGCCCTCCCAGTCCACCAGCACGATTCGTTTACTTCCCTATTGGGCAGTTGGACAGTTGGGCAGTTGGCGGGTTTGTGTGGTGTATATATTATTTATTGTGTGTTGGGCACAAGCGCGAGGGAAAGATAGGAAGAAGGCATTGTAACCCCGCCCCGCCCCCGGCCCCCCGGGGGAGAGAACGATGGAACGCGTGCGGTCCTGGCGATCCAGACCAACCTTGGACTAGTGTACTGAAAGGCTTCCCCGGGGGGCCAAAACCTCACCTAGCGCTGTCATACACCGCAATGCTAACGATAAAAAAAACATTTGGCATTTGGCCCTACAGGGCCCCTAAACAGGGCAACTAAACACGGCCCGGATGGCTGCCCGCCCAGTAGGCCCCTTCTTCCTTCCCTCCTTCCCTCAGGCCTGATGTCGCATCGCTCCGCACCCCTCCCCCCCCCCATCCCGACTTGCCTGTGACAGAATGAGGAGCGCTTTGCAGTCTGGTCCCCAACAGGTCAGATCTGAGAGGTCCTTCAGGTCGAGGGAAGTACCTGTGAACATCAGCTGCGAGCGAGCGCGTATGTACGTATGTACGTATGTAGCATGCATGATTTCTCTGTGATTTGTGTGGTTTATGTATAAAGGGGATTTAATAGCTTCGCTCCCGGTCACCAGCTGCTGCAGCACACCCGGGATTACAAAACCTTCGAGGGACACTATGTGCCGCACCTAAAAACATATCACGATCACGTCATCACGTGGATAAGAAGAGTAAGTGAGTAAGTGCAAAACGCGTATGCACACAACTCCGTTTAGGAAACGGAAGCATGCACGTGACATGACTTGGTTTCGGAGGGCCCATGGCCCAGATGGCAGAATTCGTTGGTGGGATGAGTAGATTGGTTGGTAGTTCGTTGGTAGTTCGTTCGGACTCTGCAACAGTACGGCACGCGGAGGGCCCAATGAACGACAACCTGTGTCGTACACGCATGCATATATGTATACATATGCACGTGCGTACGTTTGTCTGTAGATAAAGTAACACGGGAATAAACAGAAAGTGTAGTGTATAGTGTGTATAGTGTGTATAGTGTGGAATCCACCGCAGCACTGCATCCCATCCCGTCCCATCCCGCACCTCACCTCGAACGAGCCGTCCGGCGACAACCGGTAGACCGCCTGGGGGAAGTCTTCCTGTATGTATACAGGTAGGCAGTTAGGTAGTTAGGTAAGTAGTTAGGTAGGTAGGTAGGTAGGTAGTTGAGTAAATCCATCAGTCCAACACATGCACGTTCGTGTGGTTGACGATAGCGGTTGAGAGAGAGGGGACTGCACACACAGATAGAAGCGAAAGGGAGTGTAGGGATACGGGGAAGAAAGGAGAAGGGGATTTGAAAGGGAGTGTAGGGGAAAGGAAAACGGGGGGCTCTCTCCTCTCCTTAGGTTCCCTCGCTGGAGCCCAGGTAGGGCCCTATGGGCATACGGGCATACGGGCTGGATGGGCTGCACAGGCAGAGAGGCGTCGAAGGCGTCGTCCAACTACAAACGATAGCAAAGTAGTTTTTGCACGGCGGCGAAGCTCTATCGGTCAGTCTGCAGCTACTGTCAAGCGGCCACTGCTGTCGCTGTTGCTCTAGAGCAAAGGGCGTGTTGGAACGGTCTCGACGACACCCCAACGCACACGTCGTTGCATCACGTGGCTATATCAATTGCACAACATCGGCAACATCGGCAACGTTTTGCTGACATCATTACGATGACGAGATGATGATGATGACGATAATGAGTGCGGCTATAAATCGCGGCGGCGGCGACACGCACCTGCGCAATGAAGAAATCACTGCTCGTCGTGTCGTACGCAATACCTTCGATGCCCTTGTTGGGGTATCGCACCAGACCCGCCAGCTTAATTCGCGCCTGTGGTGGCAACCGCCAAACGGGGTCATGGAAAATATACAACCGTTACAAACGGAATCCGTTACCGGCCTAAATGGCCGACTCAACTCAAACAGAGGTTGGCACATATCTGGGTAAAATTTGATTCTTCGGTTTGGGGTACGGCTGGAGGTACGGCTGTGTTACTTCTGTCACTCCAAAAAGTGGTTTTTGGAGTCCAAACTTTGGACGCGTCTATCCCGCCCTGGAAAGTCGGAAAGAAGGAAAGAGATTGTTTTCGGACATCCTTTTAGTTTATCTTTACTGTGTGTCATTTAGTGACCCGGGAACCACAGACGCAGCCTAACGCTGCTGGATGACGTCATAAAAAGGCAGGCCAAGGGGGACGACGCAACAGCCAAGTCGGTCACTCGCTGTACATAAGGGCACAGCGAACTATTCATCGCTCCCCCCCCGGGGACATTAATAAGTGTCGTACGTCCCGAAGGCTGATACCTTTGCAATACCCGATAGCACCAGCCCAAGATAAAGAAGATTGCGCCTAAATAGGCGTTTTTCGGTTGCGGGTCGTACTGCAGTACGTACTGCAGTACGACCCGCAGCTCTTGACGACCTCTCGACTCAAGACTGAACATTTACACTCAACTCTTTTGGCAAAGAAATTGTTCCTCATATAGCAAAGGGTAGCGCCGTACTGCTGTAGCGTAGCGATTACACACACACGCAATCAACGCTCACCATTGTACGATTCAAGTAGCGCGGGTCACGAAGATTCAAATTGCGTATCAGTGAAAAGGGCATACGGCATATTTAAAATGTTTTCCTTGGAAGGCATCATAGCAGCAGGTACCAAACCGCAAGAGCTCACCATGCCGGCGGGCCGCCCTGGCACGGGACCTGGCGTCGTATTGACGAGTACGACATCCCCCATCTCCTCTGCTACAGCCAGGCTCCCGGGGCCCACCCAGGCAATGGCTGCAGCACACATGCAGCAGCAGTAGCAGTAGCAGCATTACCAATAACGTCGGCGAAAGCAGTAGCAGCATTACCAATACTGTCGGCGGAATCAGAGGCAGTAGCAGCAGCATTACCAATAATGTCGGCGGAATCAGAGGCAGTAGCAGCAGCAGCAGCATGGAGAGCCTCATCACGCACCTTCAGGGTCGAGCACGCCGGTCAGTGATACAGCCTGTAGTACACGAGAAAAGTTGAGGTCGTACTTGACGGCAGACAGGGGGTGGTCAGCGACCTGCACGCCAGCCAGGTAGCATTACACCAGCAACAGCAGCAACACCAGCAAATAAACCCGAAGTTAAACATGTCCGTCATCCTGCGCATCTGGGCCTTATTCTCACTGTGGGTGCCAGCAAAATTGCTCCTCGCTCCACATACAAGTATATATATATACATTACAAATATCCTCCACGCAGACCTGTACGACACCTAATGTGCAATATACGACAGTACGGCAATTATTCCCCCCCCCTGCGGGCTTTGCTCATCGCTCTCACCAGCCACCACGCCCCGCTGGGGTCCCAGGCGAGTCCGGACGCATCGTCGCGCACACCGGGCAGGGTCTGATTAACCACGCAGGGGTGGAAGGAATCCAAATTCGCCGGCCACCTGGAATGACTACTAGCTGTAGCAGTAGCAGTAGTTGTAGCAGTAGGAGTAGCTGTAGCAGCAGCAGTAGCTGTAGCAGCAACTGTAGCAGTAGCTGTAGCTGTAGCAGTAGCAGCAGCGACAGAAGGCTCCCACGGCAGCAGCAGTAGCAACAGCAATAACAGCAGCAGCTGCTGCAGCAGCTGTGGCAGCACCGCGACAGTCGCGGCCCGTGGACACCACGCAGCTGCTGTAGGCCGCCCCAGTCCTAATGATACCATTATAGTAACTAATACCATTATATCATTACCCAGGGGATAGTGTGTTTGCGGCGGGAGCTCGCAAGCTGGAATGGAACGGAGCGACGAAGACAGCTGTCAGCCAAACAGTGGATGAATCTTTGTATGATCTGCCGCCGTTTACGGAGTAGTAGTCAGAAACAAGACAAGAAAGTTGAATTGAAGACCAAACAGATGAGATGTAAGAGAAAAAAAGAAGGAATGGTGTGAGGACGGAGCACAAGCAATTTAGAGGCCGTGCGAGAGTGAGAAGCAATTGATGATACGGAAGAAAAAAATAGGTAGGATTACTACGGCCGGGCGAGGAGGAGGCGGAAGGAGATACGAGGGGCACCTCGGGCTTGTGCTCGTTACGGGGCTTCGCGCGTTTAGCCAGCGCGAGGTTAGATCGGAGCGAGGGATCCTGTTTCCTGACGAGCGGAAATATATGATTGCGCGCGATGTACGTAATGAATAGAGTTGTGCTGCTCCTGCTGCTATTGCTGCCAGCTGCGGTCTGCTGCGATTTGCTGCAGCGTCTGGCAGCTGGCTGGGGATGAACGACGTTTGATGGACAGGTGTCCAAGGCCGCCTGTGACATACATACATGCTTTTTTGTTGATACAAAAATTTGTGTGCGATAATAAAATAATAATATAATAGTGGTGATCGATGTGCAACATGTTTTTTTTCTCTTTTACATCTATAGATCGTGCGCGGCGCTCTTAAAGGGGATCGTGCGTGATGACGGTCCAATGCACATACACTACTACAGGTACTATATATATGTTGTTACAGGGTGGTTAACTTCGCCAGCGGCCCCTTTCCCGGGCAGTCCCTGCTCTCCCCTGCTCGAGGGGCACCCTAAACCATTCACCCCATCCGACTTCAGAATGTATTCGTTGGGTTCAGCAACTCACCACCAGCATCCAACCAAATCTAGCGGATCTACTGCGCATCAACTTAGTTCCTGGTCAGCTCGCAAGTTGATTTTATCACGTCAAGTCAGGCCTTAACCTCTGCCAGCCGCCTGCCTATATATATTGCGGTGTCATGGTCGTGGACGACGATTCCTTGCTTGGCTCATGGTGACGTACTCTTTATTATTCCACGCCTCAAGGGACTGCTCGGGGATGGGATATGCTCCGTGCGGGGCGGCCGTCCCTCCGCATATCAATTGATGACGTGGCCGTCGTCACACATATATACATACATACATACGGGATCGAAAATCCTTCCCTGGCCCCCTCAAAAGCTGCGCGAGCACGCGCTGCGCCGCCTGAAGCTGCCGTACGAGACCACGGCAGCTCGTGGTCAACTAGATGGCGGTGTTGCAAACCGAGTGGTAGTTAGCCATCAGCTGTGAGCAGCACACTACATCCACATCGCCGCTGCTACTGCCAGCCGCAATAGCTGGTGTCCCTGGTAATGAGTCCACCTGTGTATGGGACTTGGCCCTCAGGAGGACGGGAACAGCAGCAGTAGCTTTTCCAGAAGGCCTGGCAGGGAAGGGATTTCCGTACACGCCAAAAAGCATAAATACGACAGCCAAAGTCCACACTTGTGGACACCCAATCAACCTGACAGAAACCCAATATGTGGAATTCACTGAACCATTCCGGACGGGAAGGGAAGGGAAGGGAAGGAACCAAGCACCCCCCCCACACAACCGATATCAATTGATATCAACCACCACCAGGCTGCACCAGGGGCCCCATGGCCGGTCTGCGATTCCTCCTTGGCGCGCACCACCTCTGCCACAAATGTAGCCAAGTTTTTTGTGCTACGTACAGGTCCATACGACAGGTTCGCGAGTTTGCACAGTCTCCCAGAAGCAAGCGGCACCCACTCGTTTGCCGCACTCGCTTTCGCACCCCGACAGATGGACAGACGGACACGCTCCCGAGTGCTAAATCGAGTGATGCCACCCACCCCAGTGCTCCCCCGAGTGCTGAACTGCTCCACCCACGTGTGCACAAGTAAGACGCCGGGCATAGCCCTGCTGCCTTGAAGCCACAGAGCCTTCCAACAGCTGCCGTACCACCGCGTCGAATGCCACCTGAAGAGCCACAGAGTATGCTCAATGTATCCAGTGGTGCCCTCCTCCACTACCTCCAACTCGACTGGCAGCTCACATCTGTGCGCAAGACAGGGCGGGTTGGGAGCAAGGACAGCCGCCCGCCGACTCAGACATGAGGGGCCTCAGCAGTGAATGTCATGAGAGGGGAGGTGGATGGATGGATGGATGGATGGATGGATGGATGTGGGTGAGTGGTTTATGTCAACTGGGTGTGGTTGAGTGAGCGTGGGTGAGTGGCTGTGAGTGAATGGGAGTGGCGTGAGGGTGTGGAGTGAGAAAGGGGAACTGCACCCCCGCTCGGTGTGGTCATGCTGACCGTGGAGGCAGTGGGGCAGCATGTTCGTTTTTTGGAGTACACGTGTAATAAACTAAACACGTGTGTAATATGACTCCAGGTTTACCTGGAGATGGTGGAAGGTAAGGGTGCTCCTAATCGATGGACGGTGGTGACCTGGGATAAATTAAGTTGTGACCTGCGAGATATTCACACGCTCGCTGTATTGGTGGCGACTGCTGAACCCTCCTCTGTTTCTACTACGGATGTTCGGGTTAAGGGATGAGAGCGGATCCTAGAAGACAGAATCAACCGCCTTGGACTTGCAGTTCATATGGCGTAGTACAGTGTGGTAATGGTGGATGCATCCACCCTATGGTGTAGTAGCTGGCCCCGCTGAAAAGGCCTCTCGAGATGCTTGGTGGTATCGCGCTTCGCGCGTATTTGTAGTTGATAATGTGCCGTACTGTGTACCGGCTACTACACATGGTGGTGCTGTGTGGCGTTTTCATTCCTCTAGATGTGGCAGGCAATCCCAAGGTGGTGTTCCATTGGCCCGAAAGCCTCCCACTCTGTAACACACCTCCCTCTGGCCACCCACCACCATCAACAACAACAACAACACTAATAATGACAAGAACAACACACGCATACACACGCATGCATGTGTCAAGTTACAAGTTACAAGTTCCGCACACAAGTGCGGGTGTGTCCGTAAAAGCCATTGGGGGGGGCCATGCATGTGTATATACGTACGGGGCCTGAGTTTAACCTTTTGACTTGTTTTCTCATTTAGGGCCCCTCTGCTGGCTGAGCAAACAGCGTAACAAAATACAGAATCTTACATTAAAGTGGACGAGACTAGAAAGCCACACTGCATTCGTTACAAAGCAGGAGTGGTGGTGATGGCGGCGGCGCGCAGTAGCGGTGGTGGTAGTGGAAGCGAATCTCTTGTCAACCTACGGTCAGCGAAATTATGGAAAGGCCCCGCACCGTACCGCATCGTAACGGGGATGATATTTTGCTGCTGGCCGCCAGGGAATGATCTCCAGATGATGCCGTACGCGGCGGCTGAGCACTCTTTATGATTGTAATTAATATAGCATGACAGGATATTTTGGCGGGTGGTGTATGTGCCGTACTGTACGGCAAGCACTTTAGGCCTCCCTCATCGCCCAGGAGCGCTCTATATCTATTAAGCTGGGGACATCAACGAAGAGGATATAGGAGGGCAAAGTGCTAGAAGTAGGGAAAAGGGGAAGAGGAGAAAAGAAACGCCCAATAACGCCCGCCGCTGACGGGCAGACTGCATGGCAGGCCCTTCCCCGGTCCGCCGGTCCGCCGGACTAAACCCAGCAGAGCTGCATGCAGCGGTGGCGATGGTGGGAATGAAATTAGTTAGCAGGCATCAACCAACCAACCAACCAACTCTCCATCCCTACCTAAACCGCCAGTACTGAAACACATGAACCCCCTCCTCCCCTTTCCCCTCTCCCGACCTCTAGGGACATACAACTCTTAAGGCGCATTTCTATGTGTTGTCGTCACCATGTCTGTAGTACTGCTCCGACTACAGACAGACAGACAGACAGACACAGCAGTTTTCAAAAAATGCCACAGCCACAGGCACAACAAAGAAAAGGAAAACCAGCGAAAAGCATGGTTCGAAGTCAAATTAATTTAGGGTAGGGTACGGAAGGGCAAAATTGACGTACATTCACACCGCCGCCACGTTGCCCCTGCCCCGAAGGAGGCGCGGCTGGGCGGCGGGAATAATTTATTGTTTTAAATCAAGACCCCCCCCTGTTGCATTTTCCCTATTTTTCGTTGTAAGCCGTCACCAGTACACATAGCAACCCTGATCCATGCAGTCATGTGGAATCCCTCATCACAATGTATAATGCAAACACACATACACACACATACATATACACATATACACATACACATACACAGATACACACGGGGGAAGGAGAAGGGCACTAGCGGACCTGCTGCTCTCGGTGCTGCTTAGGAGGGGGAGGGGACAGAGGCCCCTCTAGCGCCCCCCTCCCATGGTCCGCGGGGGGAGAGAGCTTAGGCGGTCTTTCCGTTGGGGCTGGGCATCAGCCCCTCCCCTGTGTGGCCAGTGTCGTCAGGCCCGGTCAGATGCTTGTAACATTTACACACACACAGAGGCACACACACACACATACACACACATGCTGGGATTGGGGCTACTGTTGTTGTTGGTGGTGCGATTGATGGGCGTTTATTGCCCCCAACAAAACCATCACCACCACCACCACCATCACCACCACCACCATTACCACCAGCACCACCACCAGCACCACCACCAGCAGCATCAGGTCATCGATGAGCAAAATGCAACCTACGACGGCGGCGGCGGCAGGCGGATGAGGAGGTTGTGGGGAAACACCCAGCCTTCCCCCCACACCCCACCTCCCGAAGAGTCCCCTCCCCTAACCATTCGCTGCAGGGTTTTACGTATGTTCGTGCGGCGTACGGCTATCGGCGTACGGTCATGATTGTCAGTTATTACCCAACTCAGGTAGCCGTGGTGAACTGGTGATGGTGTTGCCAGCCAACCACATTCCTCGGTGAGCCAACCACCCCCCAAGCAACAGAGTCAACCCAAGCGCCACCGACATCATATCCGTACATGTGTTTTATTATACACGTATATGCAGGACGGACGGATGGCCAGGGCCAAACAAACACAAGCGTTATTTCGCTTTACCCGGATCACGGATGGCACATGCATACATACACACATACATACACACATACATACACACATACATGCACACATACATGCACACATACACACACATATCACATCATGGGTGCAGGTTAGCAGGGTGTTGATTTCGCAAGCGGCCCTATCCCCTCCCCCCCCTCTTCCTCTCCCTCCCCCTCCTCCCCCTCCCCCTCCTCCCCCTCTTCCTCTCCCTCCCCCTCTTCCTCCCCCTCCCCCTCTTCCTCTCCCTCCCCCTCTTCCTCCCCCTCCCCCTCTTCCTCTCCCTCCCCCTCTTCCTCCCCCTCCCCCTCTTCCTCCCCCTCCCCCTCTTCCTCTCCCTCCCCCTCCTCCCCCTCTCCCTCCTCAAAAGTACCCGACGAAACGAATACCACCGTTCACACGCGCCACTCAGCTACTCACATACATACATACACTACCCTATCCACCTCCCTCCCCACATATCCACCACCACATATATCCAAAGCAGGTGGATAAATTAAGCACCACAGTTATACACATACAAGACATTAAAAATATGCCACATCTTTAATAATCGTCCACATGCCCTAAATCATAATCACCAGGTTCAATCACCGCGGTAAATCACCAGGGTAAATCGCCTCTAGATCACCCCACCATCAGTGATTACGCCGCTGCCGCCACAGGTCGGCTGCAGTCCGCCCGTCCGAAACCCTTCTGGCAGCTGCACCTCCCCGTCCTGAGATTGCACACACCCCGGCCGCTGCACTCGCCGGGGCAGCCCACAGGGCCAGGTAGCGGCCTAGCAAATAGGGGTCGGTCGCAGTCGGCGCAAACGGTAATGTACGACGCTGCCGTACTGCCGCTTAGCTCGGGCTGGTTGTCCGCAAAGGCCCTTACTGGCGGGAATATGAAGGTGCCGGGTGTGGCGGCTACTGCTCGTACGGCGACGGAGCTGGTTCCGGAGCGCAATGCCAGGTAGAAGAACGTGACCAGTTGGGGCCGGGTCTCCTGGGGGGGGTTAGGGGGGTTGGGGGGTTTAGGGGGGTAGGAGGGTAGGGGAGTAGGGGGTTTTAAGGGTTTGGGGGTAGGAGGGTAGAAGTACGAGGATAGGAGGGTAGGGGGGTAGGCGGGTAGGAGGGTAAGGGGGTATAGGGGAGAGACTTGGCCATGCTGATTGGTCTGTAGCAAGGTCAGCGAGTTAAGGGAGATAAGTAATCAGCGGCATTAGCTGTATGCATAAGTATTTTAGGGTTTAGGGTTTCCTAGGCCACCTCCTCCCCCTAATACGAAGAATGCACACATCGCATTCCCCCCTTCCCCTCCATACACACACACACATCCCATACCGACATTCCCCACCACCACTGGGTTCATCCCCCACTCCTACCCACCTCAAAAAGCCCTCCTAAGGACCCCAACCGCCAACTCCCAACTGTCAAATCCCAACCGCCAACTCTCAACCGTCACCCACCTGCGAGGGGCACATCGGCCACCACCAGCCGCGGAAGAAGGAGCTGCCGCCCCAGGCGCTGTCCGTCACGACCCAGTTCGCCCCGCAGCTCAGTCCCAACCCCCCGCCTCCCCCCCCAGTGCCGGCAGCTGTGTTTGGATCCAGCGGCTCCAGCCCCCCCGGCATCATGACAGCCAGGGTGACGGGGCCCAGGTCGTCGGGGCTGGTGAGCTGCAGGGTGAGCACCACCACGGAGCCCAGCGGTACCGAGCTGAGCCGCTGACCCGTGGGTCGGTCGGTCAGCGGGTCCAGCAGCTGCAGCGCCGCCTCCACGAACAGCCCTCGATAGGTGGGGTACGGCAGGAGTGCGGAGGGTACGAAGTGGAGGGAGGCGGATACGGTTACCTCCCCACGGCCCGCGACCTGGGGGAGTGTGTGTATTGGGTGGGGGGGGAGAGGGAGGGAGAGTGGGAGGGGGAGAATGGGTATGACGAACAATTGACGATAGGAGCGGAGGGAGGGAGGGAGGGGGAAGAGAGGGAGAGATGATGAGGGAGGGAAAGGAAGGCCGTTGAGCGTTGGTTGGGAGTTGGTTCGTTGGAAGTTGTCGTGAATTGCATACATGTGAAGCTCATTAGCGTCGCATCAACAGCCCCATCCCCCTCTCCCTCTCTGTCCCTGTCTCCTGCGCCACCGCCGCTTCACCACGTGCCCGCTATCATACCATATCGTCCATCCGCCCCCCACCCGTATGCCTTCAACCCGCTTCAACCCAGTCATTGCCACCAACCCCCACCCCTCCACTTCTCTCCCCCTCCCACTCCGGTCAACCCCCAAACCCCAATTCCCCCCTGACTCATTCCCCCCTTGACACACACACACATACATACACATACACATACACACACACCTANAACTTAAATTCCAATATGTTGTTTGTCGCCCCCTGCCCTCCCCCCCCCTGGCCGCCGGGGGCGGGAATATCCTCCCACCGAGTCATGTTGCTGACTGGACGAGTGGAGCAGCCAGACTGGAAGTTTGCCTGTATGTATATATGTGGGGGGGAGGAAAGACAGGGGAGGGTAAGGAGGAAAGGTCCCACGCGACACAAAGTGATCTGTTATGCAGCCCACTCGCATCCCTCGGGGTGATGGGAGGGAGTTGCGGTGGCGTCCGAATTTAGGTTCAACACGCACCCAACTACCATCTTACAACAACTACCCTTCACCGTTACTCTCAACCACCCACCTGCAGGACAGTTAGTCCGTTAACGTCTGCCAGCAGAGCCAAATCGGGTTTGCTACTGCCACGTGTCTTGTCGTACTCGCTTAGAGCTGCAACTGCCAGGCCCTGATCCCGCCACGAGTACGACACATACGACCTGATGCCGTACCCGTCCGTGGATGCCGGATTCGCCACGTAAGCCGCCAGCTTTGGCAGTAGCTGGTGATTGACACCCGTACGCAGCAGCAGTAGCAGACTCAAGGCCTGATCCTCCAGGGAGGCAGCTGAGGAGAGACCTGCGGGTGAGAGGGGAACCGTTGGGGACGACGTGTCTGTGTTTTGCCGTACACGGCTGGACGGCAGTAAGGAGGACTCACGCACACACACAAACACAAACATGGCCACACACACAGACACACACACAGAGACACACACACACACACAGACACACACACACAGACACACACACACACAGGCGGCGGCAACAGATCCGCCAGACAGACCCACCGGGCGCTGACGCCACATATGCCGTACGTCCCTGCACCCGCAACAGCGAGGTGATCTCGCTGATGGTCCCGGCCACCAGATTGGGGGCAGGGTTTGCCGTACCAAGGGAGTGCAGTACCAGGCTGGTTAGCACACGGGCCTGAAACACAGGCCGGCAGAGGGCGGATATCCGTGTTGGGTTGGGGGAAAAGTCCCGGGGGTGGGGGAAAAGGGGAAAAGGTGGGGGGAAAACGTACATTTCTGTGTATTTGTGGAAGTGGGGGGGGAGATGGTAGGTGTGAGCGGGAAGGGGGAAGATGGGGGAGAGAGAGCGTGGGGGGGAGTCAGCGGGAAAAAAAGGGGAAAGTACGGAAACATCTTTGCAGTACATATGCAGTACAATGCCACACGCAACGAGTATGAAAACAAATCACCGTGCGAAGGTCATTAGGTCCACAGCCGGGGAACCTAGGGGAGTCCTTCCCCTTTGGTGCTCCCCGAAGGGGGTGACGAAGGGGAAGAACACTAAAGCCTGGTCAGGAGGTGGATCTACATACAGACAGACCCAAGTACTCCGGACATGCACCATCATCATATCACCATCATCACCTCATCACCCTCTTCCCACCGACTTTGCCCCTGGGGGGCCCCCCACCCCCACCTCTCTCGACCCGCAAGCCCTGCCGGACCCGACAGCGAGGGGTGCCCCCCCCTCAGTTCATAAGGCCCCCACCTGGCGACTCATGCTCTTGTTGGCGCCA